CCCCCCAACCTTTGCACCTAAATTGCTCAAGTACTATTTCCCTTCCTTCAGATCTTGACTTTCTTGAATAATATGCAGAAGAAATAGAAGAAAAAGAGAAAATTGGATATGCCAGCCCAGATTCTTTGACACGAGAGGCGAGAACCATACATCTGGGCCATATTTTTCCATAGTTATTCTAGTAGTTAAGGGTTCAAAAGGTAACTGCAAGGGAAATGTTATTGTATGCTTTTCGGGACGTATGGGTTAACTAGGTTGTATGGCAGGGTATGGTACTATGTTCTAGAGTCTAGAGCAAGAGCTCCTTTTCCTTTCAACTTTGTAGAGTTAAGGAAGAGGCAGGCACTCAACTTTATCACATGGTTCAAACTAAATGGATGGGACCGCCTTTAGTTCAGTTTGTTCGAATCCCCAATTCGACTTTCTCGAACCGGAATTGTTTCTGGAGTTTTCGAGGTTTCAAACCACTAAGCTCGATCCTTTTAGAGATGGTTGGTACTTTCGGAAAGTCCGGCATCTTAAATAACTATGTATTTTCATATGATCTTTAAATCTATATCGCACCATACTTTTAGCTTTGTAGTGTTGTTTAGTATAACAGACCTATGAACTGAAAGCCAACCTCATGCATAATCAGAGGCAAATGGGGGATGCATTTTAAATCTTTTCATAAAACGTACGCTCAATGTTGTTTCTTGAGGGATTTGCGTCGAAGAAATGCAAACTGAAGTCCATTGTGATACCGATTAAGATAATGGGCTCCGAATTCATTAAAAAATATAACATGAAATTGGTAAGATGGCCCCTTACAGCTATAAAAAGATGTTTTGGTTATTGTTTTTACTAATTTCTACAACAGGCGATGTCCTGATCGTAGAAGGAATAGGACCATTGTTTATTTTTATAATAAAAGCAAGTCAAGTTTGATGACTTTATTTGTTTTATAGTCATGTAGTCCTTCGCCTTGTCAGCCAGCGGTGTTCCCCCAAGTTAATTAAGGCAGTGGACATTCACGAAAACTGGACGTCAACAATGCTCATAATTAACGGTTTAAACAATTGTATCGAATATAACGTAGGAGAAAACATGATAATTGAGTTACATAATACAATGCTGATTCACTGCTCACGTAATTGTTTTAAATGAAGAAAAAAGAAACACGTAATCACTGGCGCGAGCCCAGCAAAACTTGATTCAGATTATGTCTCCGAATCAAAGAAATTAGAATGGATTTGAAACACCTGTTGAATATCTTTCACACAACATTAAAAAAATATGAATGGGATTTGTAGCAATGATTGTTGCACTGCCACCTACACACAGACACACACACACACACACACACACACACACACACACATACACACACACACACACACACACATACACACCCACCCACCCACACATACACACCCACACCCACCCACACAGACACACACACTCACAAAAACACACACACACACACACATGC